GAAAAAAACACCCCAAGTCCTCTCCTGCACGACCCCTAAACTGAAGATCTAAACTGGCAGGCTACTGCGTGCAAAGCCCAGGGACAGTAATAACCTCGAGACGTGGGTTAGGTCAGTTCTGAAGGGCATCTTACTTCTTAAATGACACCAAAACCAGATTTTAAAGATTTGATTCCAACAAGGCACTACATCTTAAAAATGACCTTCTTCTAACCTGTCCTGGAATGGGGATTTTTTTTTTTTTCATAATAGACTACCCCTCATAAGAGAAATGAGGACAAAGCCACATTTCAAATCACACCCATTCCTTTGTATTTCTGTCATTTTTACCTTCAGAGGAAAAAAGTAGAAGTTCTCTTTTTTTCTCTAAACAAAGCAGCACTTTCCTAAAGATCTATTGTCAAGACAAAACTCCAAAAAGTAATTTATTGCATATTTACAGCCTTTACTTTCACACAGGCTGCTGCGTGAGCTAACTTACCTAACGACATTTTGGATGTGCAAAGATCCAGCCAAGTTGCTTGTAATTTGGGTTAGGGACAATGTACCTAATTGAAAAAGAGTATCTTACCCTCTTTCCTGCTTTTTTGAAAAAAAATAAATTCCAAACTATAAAGAACAAGCAAACAAACAAAATGCTTTAGAAGATTCACTGTTTCTTTATCTCCTGCTCAGTACAAAGTCACACAACAATCCTGTCCTCTGGATATTGCAACTTAACAATCCTTGTTTATCCAAATGGTGTAACCATGCTGTGCTACAGCCCTCAGGATATTTTTGATAACACGTGACATGCCAGTTCTTGATTTTTACCAGCAATCACGAGAAGCACAGACTGCCAGCCTGCCTCATTGCACATGGAATTCTGATTCCTATTTCTGGAGGAAAACCATCTTATAATTTACCATGGATGTGCTTGAATTGCCCCAATCTTAACCACATCTACATACTTGGCAAAAAGATTCACCTAGTTTTGTTTGGGTTTGGTTTTTTTGCTAGTTATTTCCCTCCCTAAAATAACATTGAAATTCACATTATGTTTATTAAAGGGAGCTAGAGTCTGAGCAACCTAGGTTATCTCCCTCTACAGACAATCTGCTTCATCTCAGACTCCTAAATCTTTCTTTTCTATGGAACATCCAACTTACATTGTTTATCCACCAGAAAAAGATTTTGAGGCTGAACCATTTAATCCTTTGGTTTACTATGTATTTTGAGTAATAACTTCCTAACAAACAGTAACTGTCCTCCTTACTCCTCTGAATCCCTGCTGCAGCAAATCAGCCCTTCCCACATACTATTTGGCCCAAAGGTCGTGACTTGCATTTGTTTTCTTGTTCTACATTACTCTTCCTCATTGTGTTTCCCTGTAATGCAAGAGTCCTGAGGAAAATTGTTCCTTTCCAGCACTCGTTTACAAATATGTTTTATCATATAGGTCTAATAAGCTTAATTAATACTACTATACTTTGAAATGATCCAAAGAAATGACGCACAGAAGTTTCACCTCCAAACCAGGATCCAATTTGCAATACTTTTCTGATGCCCAGAGTCTCCTCCATCTCAGAGACCTGTTTCTGCAAAAAGTACACGTCTAAATACCGCCGTACATCCAAACACAGCTCTGTCCCACCTCAGCGCTGGTACCCCTTCTTACCATGCCCTGACAAGAACCCAGGATTCTGAGGTCCTGGCTGCTTCCCACCTGCATCCCTTCCCCCCACCCCGCCCAGCTCTCAGCATCACACACAGCTGCTCTTGCTTCCTCCTGTCATACTTTCATGATGATGCTTTTGCAACTCATTAGCTACCAGCACCTACTACCACTTTCCCCTAAGGTAGCCAAGACAAACTCCTCATCTGACTGCATCTGAAAGTCTGAGCTATAATTTCTAACAAGTGGATTGAGCAGCAAAATCTTTCTTTCAGCTTTAAGAGGAAAATGCATCCAGAGAGTAAAGCATGTGTGGTAACCCTAAAATCCCGTGTTCCTACAGCAGAGAACAAACCCCAACAAAAGGCTAGAGAATTAAGGCGGATTATAGTTATGCCCTTTGTCAGTGGAGGTTTTTATTCCACGTATTTGCTGGTTTATTTGTGTAATTACCATTCCACATTACTGTTCCACAGAAAATAGCAGACAGAATCATTTGTCACCCTCACATACCTTACCTTCTTTTCCTTAAGTCTTTGTACAGGCAGAAGGTCTTCAAAGGCAAGTAGAAAATTCCTTGCTTTCCCAAAAGATAAAAATCTTTCTGCATAGGGAATTGATGGATAGAACTTACCTTTTGGGAGGGTTGGGGAGGGAAGACAGGCAAAGAAGGGAAGGAATTCTTGCCTCCTTTAATACTGCTATCAATTCTAGAAAACCAGATCTTGTAAAATACTGTCTAATTATCAAATTTTAGCTATGCTAACTTCCCTTATACAGAAGAAATTAAGCAGAAAACAAGAGTTGCATTTAACTGGCTCTAAATTCTATTCTCTGCCAAGATGCATGAATGCAGTTGCATCAATGTAACTGATGCAATGAAACAGAAGGCAAGAAAGAAAATATGCAAAGTATTTTCACACACTTAAAGGACAATACTTTAAGTAAGTTATGGCACAACAAAAGCCTCAATTCAGGCATCTTCCCTCACCTGCTAGTTGTAATTCTGCAAAAGATTTGTAAGCATGTATTATCTAATATGATCTAAGTAAACTAGAGCAGTACAGGTAGAGCAGTACTTTTTGGGGGTAGATAACCCAAGCAGCTTTATTCATTTGCTGAAATAACATCCCGGTTTTGTTTGTAGCATTAACAGGTTATTTCAATAGAAAAGCATTTAGAAATGTCATATGCCAAGTAGCTCAACATAATTGTCTCAGTAAACAATCTACAGTTCAGTACTCCCATTTAAAGTACCCACATCCAATGTCAAGTTACCAAATGTTTTCCTCTAATTAGAACAATTATGTACTTCAGTAGTTTTATGCTATTTGCATCTCAGTGTACAGTAAACAAAGCTAACTTTTAAAGTTTGCATAAAAGATGTTCTAACATTTTATAGCATGAAAAGCATGATTTCTTCAATGTAGTATTAAATTCATGCGTGCTGGCAATTTCATGGGTATGCGTCAGCTTCCTGTAGTATCACAGAACACCTTAAAAGTTAACAAGAAATACACAGACTTCCTTAATAAGAGACTGAAGAATTTGGATGGATAGTAGATTTCTTATAGAATCTAATCGTATCACTTTGTTGATCTGAGACAGGAATTTAGGATTGTTTTGTTCAACAGTAACAGCCACCACCAGGCTGTGCCTAAGTTTAACTAGGTAGAAACAGACTGGTAACAAGTTCAAACTGCACTGGAAAGCGAGAAGCCACATCTGCTCTTTCAAGTTTGCTTTACCACATCTTCTGTTATCACTCAACAAGATCACAGTTCAATTTTTGTTGAAATGACTGAGCTAAAGCCACCTGTGTGCACAGTCAGTTAACAAAATTCTGGGCATCACTTCTGAACTGGCACAACTGTACACAAGGATATCCAAGCAGTTGTCTTGGACAAGTACATTCAACAGATTCATAAGGGCACATACAGCTTTTGGAGAAAGTGCTAACTACTTACACATTCCTCTGCAAAAAATTGTCTCCCCACACACACTGCCAACCTGGAATGAAACCCCTTATCTTTCTTCAAGAGAAGACTGAACTCCAGACACTATTTGTAAGGTACGTTTGTCCATTATCTAGAAGAGTTCTGGTGGGGTGGTGGGAAAATTACGGTGAGCATCACTACTACAGTCCGAGCTACCAAATGAAACAGTGATCTGACCAAAGCTAGAAAACAACAGATAGAAAAACTATTTTACCATCTCTTGGTGCTGACCAGTAGTATCTGACATGAACTTGGAGTTGCATCTGTTTAAATACACAGGCATGTTAGTCTTAGATTCCAAAGTGCCAATGGAAGTTAACATACAGCAGATCAAGCTGTCAAATATAAAACCCACTGGGTTTTAAGATTCTTCCCCAAGATTTTTTTTCATAATAGATTTAAAAGGAAAAGTTTCAAAGAGCTTTCATCTTAACTACTAAATCTTTTACTTACGAAGTGGCTAACTCATTCAACTAGAGGGAGCTTAAACCATAGTATACTGAGTCAAGTGAAGTAAATCTTGAACTTCCGTATAAATGCTAAAAAAAATTAAAATCAATGGCATTAGCTTAAATATTCTCAAAATTATTCTTTATGAAGTGACATCAGAAAGCTACAGAAAATTAAGATTTGTCTCCTAAAAACATGACAAACACACAGCATGTATATTACAATTTCTTAGCTTTTATTGAATGGTACTTTTAAAAAAAACCCAACAAAATCCTTTCTACAAAATACCTCACTTCTCAATCAAAAAACCTGACGGCTTTAGATAAATGTTTTGTCTCAAATGCAATATAGACTACATTTTAGAAAGGAAGAGAAAGAAAGGTTTATTTTCATTATTAGTATAAATACAAGAATTTATAGACTTTCAAAAGAATACTACCCCACAAAATGCATAAAAAGATTCACGTGCACCTTTGCACTCAGGTCAGTCTGATTGAACAATTACACACTAGGGAGAAAAGTGCTCGGAATTCTCAATCCAGGAACTGGAAGAAATTCAGGAACACATGGCTTAGTTGAGTTCTGCATCAACATTGGTCTGTCTTGCTCAGGGTTGACCCCTGTCTTACCATATAATAAAACTTGTGGATCAAGTACTTATCTCTCAGAATAGCACTGTGCTTCAAACATAACGATTAACACGTGTTTAGCAACTTAACCAAGATTCAAGGCAACACTTTGGGCCACATTGCCAGGGAACTTAACGGGTGCCCTCTAGGAAGTTAAGATATCAAAAGTGCAACTCATTGATGTGATCATACTTTTCATAAAATGAGGCAGATCAATGTCTAAGTTCGGAACCTGTACACTTCTGTATGATCCAAGTTGACTCAGTAGTGCCTGCTGAAGCAGAATTGTTCAGGTTCCTTCCACAAATGTAAGTTTTATTGCTGAGCACACTGTGTTTCAGGAGTTGGCTTAGAAGATACATACAACGTTGTGTATTTTTTCTTTTGTGTTTTCTTCTCAGTCGTGATTTTTTCTTTCTTATCTTCTTTTTCCATAGATTCAAATCTGGATTCAGCTGTTAACCTATAGGCAAAGCAACCATTCTAAATACATATTTAGTTAATAAAAAATCAGGGCTAAAAATAAGATTTTTAAGCAAAATCAGCAAGCCAGCTGGCATACCAGACCATCCATATGCAAAGACAGAGCAAGCAGTGTTTAAGAATGACATGAGACTAAAATGAAGCATTTTGATATCAGTCCTATTCACATTTCATCACTTAAAAGTATAGCCTTCCTCCCCATCTGCTCAAGTGTTTTGTAATAAAGGTTACTGAATGTGTTAAGTGGTTGGGATCAGCCTTTAAAAAAAAAAAACCCCAGTGACTGTGCCATGCACATAAAGGAGATCAAGTCCACAAAAGCACAACTCCAAGTGAAAAGTCCCCAGCAACGTAATGCAAATGTGAAGTCAAGCATTTTGCTTTAACACCACCAGAAAGAGGACGACACTTGAAGCAGTATACTAGTTTCCAACCTAGCTCTGCACTACTTCTGCCTTTATCTTAATGCCTGAACATCTGAAAACAAGTTGTTGGAAAAAAATTACTTTCAGGCAATAAATTACATCATTTGTCTACTGACATGTTTTAATTCTACTGTGAATGTAAATGGGAATACAACTGCTACACAGCTGTTAAAGAGGTAAGTTAAAAAACAAGATTTGGACATCTGAGCACAATCAGATGTTTTGATTATTTAAGAATTACTTAATAAACATACAAATGTGTCACTAGAACAAATTGACAAATAGTGCTATTTACTCTGCCAAATCACCCACAACCAATTGACTATTACACACAATTATTTCCACAGCAGAAGAAATTACGGCAAATGAAGTTCCAAATTGAACATGGCTTTACATACCAACACAAATTCTATGCTGATTCATCACATCTGTTAAAACAATTCTCTAGTGACTCTGTGGATTTCTAGTGGTCTCAAGAGCCCCCAGTGAGCAACCCACAACAATCTACAGCTGCTTTCAATGATGGTTTTCCAAACAAGAATAGCTGCTACCCACATTAGAAATTGATTTGCAATAGAGAGATACAGCTGAAAGCAAGGACTATGAAAGGAGCATTTGGGGAAACGTCACTACAGATTTTCCCTGCCACCACCCCCCAGTCTGTCTGTACACACAAATACATCAAATAAACTTTTCTGTCACAAGCAGTCTGCATTTGATGTCCTGTCAGCACTGCCTCAATAGACTCAAGAGACATATGCTTTGCTGTGCATCTCCCCTAGGTCAGCAGTGTTTGAGCCACCCCTTGCTCTGTAGAAAGTCCACACCTGTAATTCTGATGCTAACCACTTTTTGTTCATAGTCAGTTCCCCCAGCTGCCCTGCACTGCATATGTGCTGCTACCTGCAAGTAGCCAAATAACTATGTGGTGACAAGACCACCCAATTATTCGGGGAAAGAGGAAAGGCATGTTCTTAGTAATCATCATCTGGTTAGTGTTTAGTCTGCAGTTCAGTCTGTGCTGCCCTCACAGCTGTAATTAGGGATGCTAACTTGTGTCTATGCATATGTTCCCAGGGCAGGTTCTCCTCATTTGTCCCTCCTCTCTTCTGCCTTGAAACAACCTCTGTCCAAGGCCACCAAAAACCTTACTTTAGTGGCCAAAATTTCCAACAAGGATTCCCTACAAATATACAAAACAAAGCAAGAACTCAAACCAGAAGGCCAAATGAAAACTGAACTGACTTAAGTGTTCCAAAGCAGCACAATTGGATTTCTACTCCCCTTTTACAGTATTAGATAATTCTGTTAGTGTATAGTGTAATCAGTGTGGAAATCAAATTCATATCAGAAACATCACATTATTTCACAAAAGTAAACAATGATTAGAAGAGAGAAAAAAATCATCTTTGTATGCTTTGAATGCCCACCAAAATGTTTATGCAAGTCAGCATAAAGTAAGCCAACTTCCTCAGACTAGAACTATGTTAATAAGCACGTGAAGTAATCCATCAGACAACCAACACTGATTTATACAAAGATGAAATGAGCCATTTCACATTAGGAAGCTACACTTTTAAGGTAGTTACAGCTTTTATCTGCATCAGCAATAAATTGCCATAATTTGCTTCACTTACGAAAACCTTAGTTTATGGCAGTGAGGTACTCAGAAATGCCTGAAGAATCAGGTATTCAAATTCAGTAAGTTCAAATAATTGAGCTTTAATGTGACAATGGACAGGCAATCCAAGCAAAGGATTTTTCCTCTTTCGTTCTTAGTATCTTCTAGTTGGCCTGCTTTTTCCATCTTATTTTCACCCCCATCCTCTTGAAGGGGGTTGCGAGTGGCTGGCTGCGGCAAGCCAGCATTAACCCACCACAGTCCTCATAGCAAGGCAGCTCACAGAGTGCCCTTATAGCAGTGCTGTATTTCCATCAAGTGTTTGCACGAGGAAATGGACGGACCAGACAAAGGAGATGACAGTCAAACTGTTCCACCTAAAAATAATGCTTGTGAAACTACGACATGATCCTATCAGGTTTTGACTCTGTAGACTCCAGAAACAAGATGTAACGAGGGCTCCTTCTACCTATTTGAGGAAGATCAACTCGTCTGATCAGATGGAGCTTCACTTCCTGAGGACAAATGCCATGCCTAAAACCCCAAAGAGAATATTAGTTACCCAGATCTCCTGCTGAGCCAAATGGCTACAAGCATTTCCTGTTTGAACAGAGTCCAAATGAGGTAGGTTTGGTATACGTAATCTAACTAAATAACTTAAGAGCAAACAAGCTCCTAGGCACACAAGCTCTTCTTTAGGTCAAACAACCTCAAATCTAAATGCAAATTGTGTTGGGCAGTAAGGGCTGGAATTTGCTATTTCAGTTTCAGAAGTGAAGAAAGGCATTTCAATACAGAAGTGTACCTTTTTATAGACCTGCTGCCCTAACAAAAGATATCGCTACCTATAAGCTTTGCATTGCCTGAATTACAATAGCAATTAACAATTAAAAATAATGACTTAAATATTTAAATCTTTAGTCTCAACTATGTTCTCAACACTCACCTAATAAAGTATTTCAGTGTTTAGTTGCTTTAAACTTTTGTCAGTATATACTGACGCACTGCAGATATGTACACATGCTTTTAGTTCAAAGTTATCTAGCTTTCCCTTGCTGAATCACATTAGCAAGACTCTTCAAGGAAGTTTGTCACCCATAGGAGTATATACAGATCACTTCTGACCACTTTATCACCTCCTAAGCTAAGATGACAAAGCTTTTCAAACACCATTTTCTAGAAATGAAACGTGCAATCTTGTCACAGTTACTATGGCTCTTTTTACTACCACATTTCATAGATTAACAATGACAGAGCTAATTATTGCACAAGAAGTACTCCAGTTACAAAAATAACCCCCCAATAATCAAGCAGCCTTGTCTGCCAGAGCATCACATTTTACTTAACACAAGGTGAAATACTGACAATTATCCACCATGCATACGCCAATTATTTTTTTAAGAAGTACTCCAGTTACAAAAATAACCCCCAATAATCACAGCAGCCTTGTCTGCCAGAGCATCACATTTTACTTAACACAAGGTGAAATACTGACAATTATCCACCATGCATACGCCAATTATTTTTTTCCTCCCC